TTTTTCCCACTTTGCTTATTTTTCCATGGTCCTTTCTTTAGTTTTTTCCCAAATATGCCCTCAGATCTAACAAGTGTCTATTCATATTATTTTCCAAAAGTTTAATTCTATCAGTTAATGGGTTAATTCCATCTTTTCCCTGGAGACCTGCCTCCCAGCACCTTGTGTAGCCTGCTACACACTTGTCATCAGGACCAGCAGCTCCTCCTTTCTATCAGATCCCCTGCTCCCAGGGACCATGTGTTCTCCTTTCGTAATTTTCGCCCTTGTTTTGCTGGAGCACATCCGCTAGTTGCATCTCAAGAAAGGGTACGTGAGAAGTAAAAATGGTTTTTTAGCCCTTGCATGTGTCAACATGTCTCCCATTTGCCCTCATAGTTCATTCTGGAATTCTCTGTTGTAGATCATTTCCCTCCAACTTTTGAAGGCCTTGCATCACTGTCTTAGGGCATCAGTGTTACTATTAAGAATATTGCTGTTTGGGGCACCTGGGTGGCTCAGGCATTGGGCATCTGCCTTCAGCTTGGGTCATGATACCAGGGTCCTGGGTTCAAGCCCAGCGTCGGGTTCCCTGCTCCGAGGGAAGCCTGCTTCTCCCTCTCCTACTCCCCCTGTTTGTATTCCCTCTCTCACTGTCTTTCTGTCAAATAAATAAAATATTAAAAAAAAAAAAAAGAAGACGACTACTGTTTGTGTGTTTGTGTTGACCTCTTTACATTTTAGTTTTTCTCTCTAGGAGTTTCTAGGAGCTTATCTTTTCTTTAATATTCTGAAAGTTCATGGTGACTTGCCCTGGTGTGGTTCTGGCTTTTTATTGTGTCTTTTCAATCTGGAGACTCCTGTCCTTCGGTTTGGGAAATATTCTTGGGTTATTTCTGTAGTTACTTCCTTCTCTCTATATTCTTCTCTCTCTCTCTCTTATTAAGATTTTATTTATTTGAGAGAGAGAGAGCAAGCGAGAGAGCTAGCCCGAGCAGAGGGATGATGGTGGAGGGGCAGAAGGAGAGGGAGAAGCAGACTCCCCGCAGAGCCTGAGCTCCCAGAACCCTGAAATCATGACCTGAGCCGAAGACAGACACTTAACGACTGAGCCACCCAGGCACCCTGGTTTTTTTTCTCCTCTGCAGAACTCATATTAATCTGGTGACTTCCCAGATTGATCTTCTGATTTGTGTTCTGTTTTTCTGGGAGAATCCCTCAACTCTGTGCTCTGACTTTTCCATGAAAAATTTTATTTCCGACAGTGTTTTCTAACTGTAGGAATGCTTCTTTTGTCTATTGCCTCCTGTTCCTGCTTCATAAATACAATTCATTTCTTATCTCTGTAGATATTAGTTTCTTCTGTTGCCAGCGAGCACTTTCTGTACTTTGCCTTTCATGTCAGAGACGTTCCCGAAGTGTCTGATCTTTTAATATTTAGGACTGAGACAGCTGACACTGAAATCCAGTTGGCAGCTCCGGGAGAGAACCACAGACTGGCCTCAGTGGCGGGCACTCAGATGGGGAGCGAACCGCTCACTTATTCCAGACAGGGATCCTCCATTTCCTGCCTGGGGGTTATTACCCGGAGGCGGTGATCTGTGAACCCACAGCAGGAAGGGGCTGAGAAGGGACTCATAGTTCAGCGCGAACACTTCCACTCGATTCTATTTAAGCGAGTGCCTCTGAGTGGGAAGTCTCTCTGTTCAGTTTCAGAAAATAAACCCCTACCCTGCCGAGTTAGGCAGATCAGAGGGCTTGGAGTAGGAACCAGGGACAGGGGATATAATTTCTTGTACAGACTTTAATCCTTCTAGGGTTCCCCCCCCATTTTTTTTTATCACAATAAAACACATATGACATAAAATTTGCCATCTAAGCCATTTTAAAGATTTATTTATTTATTTTCGAGAGAGCGCAAGTGAGCAAGAGTGCACAGGGGAAGGGCAGCAGGAGAGAGAGAATCTCAAGCAGATCCCCCTCTGAGAGCAGAACCCCGTATGGGGCTCGATCGCACCACCCCGAGATCACGACCCGAGCTGAAACCAAGAGTCAGTCGCCTAACTGAGTGAGTCACCTAGGCGCCCCTGACCATTTTTAAGTGTACATTTAAGTGATATTCGGTTGATTCCTGTTGTTGGACAACCATCACCGCTATCCATCTGCAGAATGCCTTTCACCTTACAAAACTGAAACTCTCCTCCTAAAGCAATAGTGCCCCCGGCGGGTAAGTCTTTGCCTTGCATTCTTGCCCTGCAGGGACACTCAGGGTGTCCCCACACCCACCCACAACCCTGCCTTCAAAGGCTCCTGATGCCTTTAGCTCCTAAGACTTTGCCGAGCTGTAAGGTGGGTGTTGGCAAACTTTTCCTGGAAAGGGCCAAATCATAAATATTTTAGGCTTTATGGGTAACTGCTCATCTCTGCTCTTGTAGCCATAGACAATATGCAAACAAGTACAACCTCATTCAGTAAAACTTGATTTACAAAAGTGAGTTGCAGGTCCTGTTCGGCCAGGGCTGTAGTTCTGGTTGTAGAAAGGTTTTTGGCTTTAGTTGCTTAATCAATCACCCTACTTTCCACCTTACGGAAATTTGACATCTCTCCTCTGCTCTTAGCTTTTCTCTCATTCACTTTGTCCCTATGGAATATATAGCTTTTTTTTTTAAAATCCCTCTGTAGTTATGTTCATGTTGTTTTCAGGAACTGAGATCAATGCATATGTTTGAGCCACAGTTTTTTAAAAAGATTTGTTTGTTTGTTTTACTGCAGGGTGGGGAGGGGCAGAGGGAGAGAGGGTCCTAAGCAGACTCTGTGCTGAGCGTGGAGTCTGACACAGAGAGTCTTGATCTCACAGCCCTGAGATCACGACCTGAGTGGAAACCAAGAGTCGGTTGCTTAACCCAGGTGCCCCTCCCTAATCCACAAGTTTTAAGCTTTTTATTTCAAAATGATTCCAAGCTTCCAGTAAAGTTGCAAGAATAGTATAAAGCTGTTACTATTTTGCAACATTTCCCTTATGATTCTCCCTCCACAGACAGATAGATAGAACCATTTCAGATCTGGTGTTCTATTATTCCTTAAATACTTCACTGTATATTTTTCTAAGATCACAAATACTGACTCAGGAGAAATTCAGTTCTCAAAATCAAGCTATTTAACGTTTATAATCTGTTGTGTTATCTATAGACCTTCCTCAGATGTCCCCAATAAGTCCTTTCTAGAACTGTTCCCAGCCCAGGGCCCAGTACAGATTACAGTGGGTTTTCATGATTCGCTGCCTCCTTCAGTGAGGAACCGTTTCTCAGTCTTGTTTTGTGTTTCGTGACACTGACACTTTGTTGTTTGGACACTGACATTTTTGGAGATACAGGCCATTAGTTTCTAGAATGTCACTTTATTTGGTATTGGATGTTTCCTCATGAGTGCATTTTTGACATAAAGAATCTTGTTTCCTTGATGGTGAATCAGGAACTGATCTACAATTTTTATTTAAAATCGTCCCTCCCCCAAGTTATTTTTCATCCTTCCTGACATCCCTGGAAACTCTCCAGAAGCTTATCCAGAGCAACAGCCTTTGTTCTGGTTTTTAAAAATATACAATGTATTCTAGAGGTCGCATTATATCCACTCTTTTGCTTCATAAAACTTTGGGTGGCTTTTGACAGAAAGCAGTGGAAATGTGACTGTTGAACTTTGTCCTGCTGGCTCGGAATCGGGCTTATTTATTTACAGACCGCCTGTATGCAGATTGCACTTTGAAATATCTTGCACTTAGATTGCATATCCTAATGCTGGATGGGTGATGTACCCAAGGAGGAGAATGTTAGCATACAGGAGTGAGCCCTGAGGTTACCATGTCGCTAATGTTATTTTATACAAAAATACCCGTTTTGCTGAAATATAATTCACATGTTACACAATCCACCCTCTTAAAGTGTTCAAATCAGTAGTTTTCAGCACAGTCACAGGGTTGTGGCGGTGCTGTCACCACCAGGTGTTTTCATCATCACTGCCGTTTTAAGAATAACAGCAAAATCGAGTCCCTTGGTGAAATGGCCATAGGTTCTGCTTGATAGATTGGAGGAAGGATGGGGGAGGGGAGGATGCAACAGAGGGCAAATTTTGAACGAGTATGGAGATGCCCAGGACCGCAGGGTGATGGAGGCCTTTTGCAGGAGGGTGTCGAATGAAGGCTCAGGGGCACTGCACGTCGCATTCAGGAAGGAATCCTGTCCAGGGCTGCGGCACAAGCAAAGGCCCGGAGGCTAAGATGAATCGTGCGTCCGCCGGCCAGAAACAGCCCCTCTCCTCGAAAGGCAGAGTCCCGGGGCCAGGGTGAGGGGCCGGTCCCAGCATCCCGCCCTCTCCCCCCCGCCCCCCCGCGACAGGCCCTCTGCCGTCTGAGGCCCGAGGGTGCCGGGCGTGGCGACAGCCACCTCCTGGGCGCAGAGGCGAGGCGCTGCGGGGTCGCGAGGAGGGAAGCAGGGCGGTTCACGGGCGGAGGTCTGCGATCAGCGCCCGTGGGACGAGTCAGGTAGCCCACCACCCCCCTTCGGGTCGGCACCGCAGACTCCTGTCGTCGCTGGGAAGACCTCAGAGCGGCTCCTGCCTCCATCCGGACGACTGAATTTGTTCTAAAGTTGCGCCGCGCTCCTGGCCCTCCATGTATGCGAGGGGCAGCGGCAGTGAGAGGCCGCAGCGAGGAAACGGGAAGGACGCCTCTGCCCCCGAAGTCAGCCGACCCAGGGGCTGCCCCGAACTTCTCCAAGTCCCTCAACGCCTCGGCTGCGAGTCTGCACTTGGAGGCGCCCTCTTCCCCAGCAGGGGCGCAGCCCGGGGCGGGTGACTGGACCTGCCTGGGCAGCTCCCGGAACAGGGGCGGGGCTGAACGGGTCCTCGGCAGGCCCTGGGCCCGACCCGGGACCGCCCCTTGGGGGCAGAGTCTGGGCGGGGTCAGCGCGGGGCCTCCGGAGCCTGCAGAGCGGGGGGTCTGAGGGAGTGCGCGCAGCCGCCGCCGCCGCCGCCGCCGCGGGATCCTGGGGGCCTGGGAGGCGACGACCGTAAGGGGGTGCGGGGGGTACGGGCGGGGGGTCGCGCGAGTTAGCAGCTGTGGGTGCGTGCGGGGGTTGCGAGGGCGCGGGTTGGGGGCGCGGCTACGGGGGGCGGAGGAGGGGAGGATGTGCGGGGCGCTGTTGCAGGGGGCTGACACCAGGAAAGTGTAGGGGCCCGGTTGTGGGGGTGGGGCGAGGCGGGGCAGCTGTGCGGCTCGAGGGGGTGCGAGGGCGCCGGCTGGGGGGCGAGGGTGGGGCGCGAAGGGTGAAGGGGGCGAGTGTAGGGGCACGGCTGCGGGCGCGGGCGGCAGTGGGACTTGCAAGCAGGAGACTCGCTCACCTCTCAGGGGCCCGCAGCTGCACGAGGACCGAGGGCTTGGAGCGCCCACGCCTCGCCCCCTTCGGCCTCCCCCAACCTGGGGCTGCAGGTGCGTGCGGCTCGGGGAGGAGGCCCGGGCAGGCCCTGCGAGCGAGCTCCGGCGGGCGCACGGGGGCGGGGAGGTGGGCGGCGGGGGTCCCCAAGCCTGTTAATCCCCGACTGTATTGCTTCCAGGGTGCGTCGCGCCCCCAGTGAAACGCTCTTGTTTGTCGCCGGAGTCCTAAAACCTGTTCCAAATCTCGCAGTTGAAGCGTGCTTTTCTGCCTCCCGGTTTTCCTCTCCCGCCCCTCTCTCTCCGCCCTACCCGCCGCCTAGCTAGGGGGAGACCTGGGCTTGGAGTCAGAGCTCCAGCAATCCCGCTGGGCTGTTTGACTTCTTTCTCTAAAGCTGCATGGCCCACTTGCCCTCCCGCCTCCCACGGTATAAGCCTTGGTCTCCGCAGAGCATGGTTTTGCCCTCCCGCCTGCCTGGCCAGACACCCCTGTCCCGGCCCTGGCAGCTCTGTGAGGACTCTGCATCCTGCACCCCGGGTAGGTGGGGAGAAGGGAGGCCTGTGCATTGGACATCTCTGCCTCCCACCCAGCGCCTTTGCTTGGATGGATGAGCTCTTGGGGGAAAGGCCTGAGGACGTGGCCTCCCCGGAGTGCAGCAGCGTGGACAGTAAACATTCCCAAGGGAGCTCCCAGCTCCGGAAAGTAACATTGTCCTCTCCTGGGTGGTGGCTCCCTTCAGGGCCTAGCCCCACTGGGTCTGACTTAGCAAAAAGTTCTGGGGTTGTTCAGCAATAGTCTGCCCCCCCCCAAATTTCCACACCTAGGATGACTGTGAGGACTGGGTTGTTTCCCTGGGAAGTGTGGGCGGTGCTTAGGGACCACCCTCTGTCCAGGGCAGGGGGCTCCTCCTGGATCATGCCCTTAGGAGGCCAGCAGTTTTATGGAGGGAGAGGTGGGCCATGAAATAAACTCGTAAAATATAAGGTACCTTCAAAGATGGGGAAAACCTGAAGAGGGAAGGAGTGTCAGGTGAAAGAGAAGCCTGGGTTGAGAAGTGACATCTGAATAACGATGAGGAGGTAGGAGTGGCAGATTGCCATCGGGGGTGACTGTGCACCAGGTTGAGGGAAGAGCAAAGGCCCTGGGGCAGGAGTGCTCCTGGCACAGATGAACTCTTATCTGTGTTTTCTGAGTGTGGGGCTGGCTGCCACCAGGGCCTTTGGTGTGAGTGACCTCTTGTGTAAACTGTACTGGCCCAGCTTGAGAGCAAGAGGACTCCGGAACTTTCTGCCATGTGCTCCCTTCTCTGCCCCCCTCCCAGTTCCAGGAAAGGAAAGACCTTCACAGACACACAGATAGTAACTGCTCAGCAGGACAACCAAAGTGAACCTCAGTGCCTTCTGCTCCAACCCATGTGCACCCGTGGGCCTAGGACACTCTAGCTGGTACCCACCTATAGGAGTGGGGTGTCTGGTCAAAGTGGCCAAATGCGTTTGGGGAGAGGGACCTGTCCTATGCTCCCACAGGAGCTCACAAGGAGCCCCAGCCATGGACGGAAGAGTCCGACAGGCCCCAGGCTTACTAACTGCCCCGCCCCCCGCCCATGCACCCTGACTCTTCCCTTCAGCCTCCTGGCCCAGGCCCAGACCCAAGGACACACGGGTTGCCCAGACTCTGTTCCTGAGTGCAGATGCGCAGAGCTGCGGAGCACAGATAGGCGCACAGAATAAGGGGGGCTCAGTGGGAGCTGGGGGCCGCTGTTGAGGGACTGGCGCCAAGGACCCACACTCAGGGCTGGAGGGCACACAGGGAGAGCAGGCGGCGGGGGGTTCACAGGGCCCCTGGGAGCTCATGCCCAAAACCTACCTCCGGAAGGCCCTCAACCCCATCGTCGGTGATTCCTTCCTCTGACGGAACACGGTAGTGCGGAAGGAGAATTGGCACTGAAAGAAGAGGGGACGCGTGTCCTAGCTGTGCCATTGGGATGTCCCTGCCCTGGACCTCACCCATAAAATGGAGGGGTTAGGGTGTTCAATGTGAGGGCCCCTGGAGCGCGAGTGTGTGACGACTGTGCGGGTAAGAAGTCCATACGGACCTTCGGGGGAAAAACGTGTCTGTGGCGAGCAGTCAGTTTTGATGAGGCCTGGGGGCACCCTGTGCCAGGTCCACAGGGGCAGCCACAAGCGAAGTGACAGCTGCGGCCTCAGGCTGTGGGCAAACCCTCAGACAGAGGGCAGGGGCTCGGATTGAAGAAGTGTCCCTGCCCAGCCCAGCTGGCCCCCCGGAGTCACCACCCACCCACCTGTGAGTTTTCCTGGGCTGGAGCAGGGGCCCCAGGGTGCTGTGTGGAGAGGGTTGGGGGTGCAGCAGTTCCCCAAGAGGGGATCCAGCCACCTGCCTTCCCTGAGGAGAAGGGCGGCATGTGCTGCAGGAAATCCTCCCTCTCACCAGGGAGGGAACGTGCAGTCCCATCTTTGGTTACATGACCAAACGCACTCGGTGCGAACCGAGTTCACACTGGGGTTTCACTTCCCTCAAGGTGTGTTTGCTCTCCTGAGGGAGGTCATGGTGCACCCTTCCTCACCCTCGGAAGCCCAGCTGAGGCCTTCCCCAGCCCGGCTCACACACCTGGTGTGGATACCCCACTGTCTGTGTCCAGCGTGGGGCTGTGCTGTCCTAGTGCTGCAACCCCTCCCTCTCTGAGGTGCTCTGAGTCATTCCAGAAGATTCTATGGCTGACTCACAAAGGGCAACCGTGGGAGGAACGGAAGGTCCCTGGATCGAGAACAGGAGTTTTTGCCGCCTTTACCTTTAGAGAAGATTGATACACTGATTTCAGATGTCTTCTTGGTGGGTCCACACAGTGATGTGTGCAGGGAGTCCAACTCGCTTTCCAAGTCTCCAGGGAAAGTGGATGTACTTTTCTGCTTTCCCGGGTTTTTTGTTTGCCTGTGGCAGGACCTGCTTGCTGGACCATGTGGTCACTTTGAGGCGGCAGGAATGGGCAGGTCCACCTCCCCCACCCCGGGGGCGGGGGGAGGTGGCCATGTCCTCACCCGGGTCCACACCTTCCTCCCTCCCTCAGAGGCTGCTTTGTCCACCAGGACCTTCCACTGAACTCCAGAAGTATTTTTAGCCTTTTGCAACTTTTTATTCCTTTCGGCTACCCAGACATTGCCACTAGCAAACTGATCCCCACCAAGATACCAACAGCCCAAAACATTCCTGGACACCCTGACTCTCGTCCTTAGGGGCCCCCTCCATGAAGCACGGGGCCTTTCACCACGTTCCAGAGGAGAAAGCAGCTTAGGTTACTCAGCAAGGCCCAGCCAACAGTGCTATCAGCTTACATACCATTGAGGAAGCTTCCAGACCAGGGAGCACATTGTTGAGGGCTGGCTGACCCGGGGACAGAGGGGAAGGAGATCAGGTACGTGACTGACAGCATTTCAGCGTGCATGGCCCACTCCTTTATCCTCCGGAATGGGGCTCTTCTCTACTCAGGTAGAGATGCCAAGTGTTGAAATCCCACACCAGGTAAATTGCTTCTTCCTCAGAGGCAGCGAACTGTGCTCTCCTCAGGGCATTTCTCTTGTAACGTAAGACCGGTGGAAAACTGGCCTGGTGTCCTAGGGCAGCCAGGAGTGGAGTGCGGCCCCGGGTGACACCGGCCACCAACACACTGATCCCAGCATGCCCGCCCCCCCCACCCCGCCGCACTACCCACCTTCAGGCCTGTGTCGACGGGTCTGTGGGGAGCCCTTAGCTCAGCAGCCAGGTCTGCAGGTCCCTGGGCCCCCTCCAGAGGTGCTGGGGGTCAGCCAGCCCTGCCAGGGGTCCTCCCTTCTCCCACTGCGGTGGGGCCTGGGTGCCCCACGCGTTCTGCCTTCCCTCCTCTGACGTCCACTCCTCAGCTCCCCATCTTGGTCGGGGTAGCACTTCCTCAGGAAAAGTGCTGGATAAGGACATGGGTTGGGGTCCCTCTCCTTGACCTGTCGTGTTCTGGGGACTTAAGATCCAAAGCAAATCCCTGGGTGGGTGCATCGCCCCTTTACCTGAAGTGACTCTTTGAAACCCCCAGTTCAGTGAGGCCTGGAGAGCTGGGGTCACTGGCCTGAAGTCGCGTGGCTGGTGGGCGGCAGGGCCAGGACTGGAGGCCGGCAGCCAGCGCCTGACCACCGGCCTGCAGGCTCCCGGGGCCAAGAGCATGCCATCAGCGGCAACAGGAACTGAGTCGTGTTCTGTCTGTCTACACAGAGGCATGAACAGAGAGTCATTTTGGGGGTGGGGGACACACTCGGTGTCCGGTGGCGATGTGCCCCACGCAGGCCCAGAGCAGGGCTTCCCCCACGAAGCCTGCACCCCGCCCCGGTGCTGTTTTTACTGCCCTTGCATTCTGCTTTGTTTTTGCCTGTAAACGATGTTTTCTTTTCCCCTGGGTGCTGGTTCCAGGCTGCTCTCCCAGGCTTTGCTCCAGGCCTTCTGGGCGGTAAACAAGGCCTGGCTCTGGGGTAGGGGTGCAGGGCGTGTTGCTCTGCAGCTGTCCCGGGCCTCACCCATCCTGAGGCCCTGCTGGCCGCTGGGGTCTGGGGAGAAATGTCTGTGGGGGCAGAGGCTGTGTGGCTGGTCAGGGTGTC